CCCAAGATGTGGTTTGGACTTTCTTTTCTTGCGTTTACCTTTTTTTCTTTTCTTTTCTCTCTAATTTTCTTGTTTAAGTTAACAACATGAACATAATGGAGGAGTTGTGATGCTTCTTCCATGGCTTTGACTCAATTGATAAACAGTGTTTAATTAAATAATCATAAGTGGACCTTTTTCTTCTATTAAATAATCTAAAGAAATTTTGAATCTTGTGATTTTTTTTATTATTATTATTTATCCCGCTAACAATCTTCTATTTCATAAATTTTTCCATTATGCTTTAATGTATGATCTAATAAGAATCTATAAAAAAATGTGAATTTTAAGGCATGATAGTACAATTAGTAATAACAGAAGAACATAAACTTTAACGATAAAAGATCTTATGTCATTCTTATTCCATCAAATCTTGTATATAGCTAATTGGTCAACAAAATAGCAAGTACGTTCCATCAATTTCTAGGATTAAATTGAGGGGGAAAAAACAATACCTAAAAGGTTAATAATTTGAGAAAATATAAAATTTGAAGGGTGAAAAATAGGAAAATCATATTTCAATGTGTTGTCTTTTTGGGTCTAGATCGGATTAGTGCCACGTGATCAAATGACACTTTTTGCTAACGATTTGGACAAAAGTTTGGAATTGGGCGAATTTGGAAAAGAAAAATTAAATAATTTACAGACAAAATTTAGTAAAAAAGAATTTAAAGACCAATGTAATAATTCAATAATATTTAAAAGGGTTAAAATATAATTAATACTTATTATTTATGTGTAGTAATGTTGCCGATGTGGTTTTTCTTAGTTGGGTATTACCTCATTTCAAGTAATTAGTGCACGCATACTAATTATGCTTAATGCTCTAGTTAATTTAATTACTCTATCAACAACATTTACCATTTTAGATCACGATGTTGAGAGCAAATTATACTTATTTTTCACATCACAACATGAATCAGGAACAGATAATATAATAAGTGAGATCCATAATTTTGAAGTTATAATATTATAACATATGTTGATACACTAATTAATATAATAATCAGTGTGTATAACACCATTGTTTACTATTTGCATCACAATATTAAGGATAGATAATTGCATGACAAGATTCTAGAATTCATGGTTCAAATATTTTATGTTGACTTTTCATAAACAAACAAATTCTCGTGACAAAAAATTGCAACAGATAATATTTACCATCCGCATCACAATATTAGTTTAGTTTGAGATGTAGATTAGTTTTTAAATTTTTTGGCTTCTCGTTTAGAATATATTTTTTTGACTTTTTTTATTTTTGTAAAAGAAAAAATAAAATAATTATGATTTAGATATGACAACTTTTAACCTATGATTAAAAAACTTATTTTATCTTTTTGTGATAATTTTAATCCCAACCCCATGCCAACCAAGACAATATGTATTAAAAGTACGTAGGGCAATTCACATTTTTAATCACAAAGTTAAAAAAATACTAAAAATTTAAAAGTTATACAAAAAATATCAAAGATTGTTTTATATTCTCTCCTCTTTTTGAATTTTTTTCGTAAAAAAATTAAAAATTCACTCTCAAACACTTTTTTTCACCTCATATTTTAGTCAAAAAATCAACAAATAACTAAAAACCCCACTTCCTAAACCAATCCCAAGAATAGATAACACTTACCATCTTCAAGAAGTTAGCCGCAAAGTAAAAATTTGAAGATAAGATTTAAAAGGTTACTAGAAATTAGTCTTGAGAGGGTAATTTTTGGGAAAATTGGGCCGAGCTTCGAGTTGGGTTTTGAGGCCCAAAACGCAGTGGACTAGGTAAAAAGGCCGTACAGAATACTCCAGCCTAGAGGGCAAGGTTACTCCGGCCTTGGGGAGACAAAGTTACTTCGGCCCAAGGAGGTGAGTTTATTCCGGCTCAAGAAGAGATAGTTGCTTCGGCCCAAGGAAGACGGAGAAGCGTGGACTTGGTCAACAGGATTATACGAGGAGAATTATTTCCTCCCCGTACAAGTCTAATCATTAATTTTAAAATCTTGCGATTAGTTGAGTTGTGTATAAATATTAATAACACCCAATCATGAGAAATAAAAAAAAAAAATAGAAAACATTTACCATCCGCATCATAGTGTTAAGAACAAATAACATTTGTATAAGTCGGGATTGTATGACCAGAAAGAATTCAATATTCAAATGTTATAAGGTTTTACTTTTTAATGCAGGTGCTAAATTCGTTGGGCTCTACCACTTGAATGACTCTGAGCACTATCAAAATGGGATCTGTATTCTCTGTAAACCACAGCAAAGGCACATCAACCAACATAATAATCAACGGCTTAAATTTTACTTCAGAATACTAACGTTAGAAAGTTAATTATTTTATTAAGTTATTTTAATTTTTAATTAATGTTTTAAAAATTAAACTGGTAAACAAATTGAAAAAGAGACCAAGTTAACGGGTCATTGGTTCAACCGTCAAGTCGAAACGGTCGAACCGTGACATCATAATTAATATTATATAATTAGAAATATAATTATAATTATAAAGAATAAAAAATAAAAAATATATATAATTACTGAAATAATAAAAAAAATTGTTACATAATATTTACTAATAATATTTAATAAAGTCATAATTGATATAAAAAAAATCACTAGTTTTAAAGAAATTAAAAAAAATTTAACATTCTCTCCAAACAAATCAATTGAATGCTAGATTTAATTTTAAAGGGAAATGAAATTTTCAACTCTCCCTCCAATCAAATATAATTCAAACAATTTGATCGAATCTCATATTGAATTTTTAGGTTCTCTTTGAACAATTTTTTTCCTATAAATAAGGATAGGCTTTCATAATTTTTTCAAACTTCCAATGAGACTCCTTCTCATGAGAGGACACTTGAAGTAAAAGTTTTTAGTCAAAATTTTAATATGTGTATATATATAAGAAAGAAAAGAAAAAACAATAAAAAAAAAAAACCAAGCGGGTTGGTTGAGAACCGGGACCAGTTCACCGATTTTACCGGTTGAACCATTGATTTTTCCGATTTTTGCAAATAAGGCCAATATTTGACCTAGTCCAGTTTTTGTGGATCATCCGGACCAGAAGTAGGTCTGATCACTGGTACTACCGGTTGAAACGGCCAGTCTGGTCCGGTTCTTAAAACATTGTTTTTAACTATTCTAGTAGATTAAAATATTTGTATTTGATAAAAAAATGTTAGATTTTTTTTGTAATTGGATGTAATATTTGTGAAAGAAAAAGTAAAATAATTATGAATTTTATGTGACATTTTGCCTTATTAACTATTTTAACTTATTTTATTTTTTTATGAATTTTAGCCAAAAAAGTCAATTTTTAACTTTCCAAACATCCCAAATATATATATATATATATATATATTTTTATGATAAGAGTTTCGGGATAAAACTAAGGCCAAGTTTGGCATCCCATAAATAATTCATCTTTTTATCTTTTTATATTTTTTCCATCACATCACATCACCTCTCTACTTTTCTACACATTTTTTCGTAAAAAGATAAAAAGTGCACTTATTTAGATCATCTCAGACAACTCCTAAAGATGTCTGACATACAATTGTTTATTTATACATATTTGTATATGAGTAAGAAAAATATTTCATTCACATAATTTTTCTTTCACAAATCTCTAAGGCCCCGTTTGTTTTCAGAGATAGAATGGATGGGATTCATAGTGAGGGGATTAATAGTGAGGGGATTGTTAGTGAGTGGATTAATAGTGAGGGAATTGATAGTGAGGAAATTAATAGTGAGGAATTGTTAAATTATTTTTATATAAAATAATAAAATAAATAAAAAATATAAAAAATTAAACATTAATATTTAAAAAAAATTTCCAATATATAAAAAATAAAAAAATATATAAAAAATTTTAATCCCCTCACTATTTTTCTAATACCATCTCTATCTCATTCTTACCAATCCTCCTTCCAAGGGGACTACTAATACTAAGGGATTAATAGTCCCCTCTCCATCTCTCAAAATAAACATCCTATTAATAATACCAAGGGATTAGTAATCTCAATCCCCTCTCTATAACTCCAAACAAACGGGGTCAAGGGTTGGTTTGAGAAGTGAGTTGACTTTTTGACTATTTAGTCTGAGGTTAAAAAGTCTTGTTTAAGAAGGACTTTTTGATTTTTTTTAATTTTTTGTGAGAGAAAGAATGTAATAATTATAAATTAGATATGATGTTTTTTCTTATTAAATTAAAAAATTTATTTTACCTTTTTATGACTAAAATAGTCATAAATTTATCCAATCCATTCTTTCCAAACTAAGCCTAAATAACATGACCAAAAAAAATTAATTAATTAATTTACAACGTACGTACTCGTCTCTTCTCTAAAAATTTGCGAACCCAAGTCATTCCAAGAGTTCGTAGAAAAAAATTTGTGTGACTGCTGTATAAATATTAGGAAAATAAGTGAGAGTACTAATTAGTGTTATCATTAATGATGTGGTAGTGAACCTCACCAAGAATGATTTGATGTTTTGGTGTTGTATTTTTTTTTTTTTATTGAGTATCATGTTATTAGTGGTCTTTTTAGAGTTCTAAAATTAATAGTCTCTATCATTATTGTAAATATTATGCGAGAAGGGAAGAGGGGACAGATCTCTTGAAACAATTGTCGCGACCAGTACTTTCAAAATTAATCAAAAACCGTTGTTTGTTGTACTCACTGATATTGCCGTGGGATTAAGCATTATAGACAACGGTAGTGATAGAGAATAGAATTGTAATGGAAACTCTACTTACCTGATAAGGGAAAAAAAAATAAAAACACACGAGCATATATCACATCAATGAATACACCTCACCTATTAAAACTTTTAAATAACCAAATAATTTTTTTTTTATAGACAATGGCCTACCAAGTCTACAAACTAATCTTATCTAGTGGGGTCCATATGGGTATTTACAATACAATGCTTCTATGTGCTTTTAAAAGGAGACAAAGGCAAAGAAGAAAAAGAGAAGGGGGGTGATAACCATAAACAAAAACAAAAACAAAACAAAGTCTTTCTTCTTCTTTCCCCTCCCTCCCTTTCTTGCTTTGTGTTGTTTGCAAACAAAAAGGCCCTTTCAAGAGCCTCTGGACGTGCTATATATTTTCATGTCAACTCATAAGTTGAAAAAATAAAAAGAAAAAAGAAAACTCATCTTGTGTTTGTGTGTGTGAGTGAGAGAGAGTGAGAGAGAGAGGGAGAGAGAGATGGCTTGGAGATATAATGCTGGATTGGTCCTCATTGTCACTGTTATCATCACGTGGGTATCCTCTGCTGAAGTCACTCAGGTGAGTTTGAGTCTCTCTCTCTCTCTCTAAATTTGATTTCATCATGACTACCTATATTTACTTGGAAGATGTTTTGTTCTGTTAATGGATGGCTTTTAACAAACTGTATCCGATGATACTTATCGATTTATGAGAATAAAATTATCTAGGTATTGCTGATAAAAAAAAACATTACAGAAGTATTGGTCGGTTTGTGAAACATTTGTTTTATAGTCAATTCAATAAAGGTTTTTTTTTTTTCTTTGCAATTGATGATTTTTTAAAATTTACAATTGCATCATTCAAATTCAAATGCGTATCAATGTCATAGGATTCTATATCCTCAAATCTCTTGTCTCTGTCTCAAATCATCTACATTTATTGAATCATATTTTAAGATTATTATATTCATATTTTCAATAATCTAAGAGTCCGAAGTGTATATATATATATATATATATAAATTTAGGAATAAAGGATACTCTTTGTATTGTCACACCACATGACTAATATCGATTAGTCTATCGATATTGTTATTATTAAAATCTTATAAACTATATATATATATAAGTGTGTCTATGAAATCCAGCAACTTAGGAATGTTTGGAAAGTAAGTTTTGAGTTAAAATAGTTAATAAAGATAAAATAGACTAAAATGATTAATAAGATAAAATGTCACATTTAAACCATAATTATTTCACTTTTTCTCTTACAACTATCAAGTCAACTTTTTTTTAAAATATAATAAAATAAAATTAAAAAAATCAACTATTATTTTAAACACAATTTTTTTAGTTAGGCTAAAATAATTATAAAAAAAAAAAAAACTAAAAAATCAGCTGAAATATCAAGCTTCCAACTCAGCCATTAACTTAACAGAGCTAATGGAAAATGACACAATGGTAAGATTAACAGATTGGATGTGGGGAGAGATTAGACGTCTCTAATACCACTTTTACCTAAACCTCTCAAATCAAGCTAATTACGTACCTAATACCCCTATTCCACTGCAATAACATCATTCTTATTTGCTCATTATTATTAGGTAACGGGTATAAATGTAAAACAAAAGAGTGTGATCCAATTCACCCAAAAAACATATTTTAATTCACCCAAAAAAAAGAGTGTGATCCACACGCGGGGTCCACATGTGACCCATGCTATGCCTTCCTTGTACTTGTATTTCATTTTATAAAATTGTTTTGTGCTCACAGCTAAAAATTTTCTTCCAAAAAAAGAAAGACATACCGTATCATTTAATATGTTTTTCTAATTTAGCACTTTGTATAGAATAAGTTATGTATCATCAAAAAATTCATGGCCTGTGGGCTGGCCAAAGCCCTGCCTAGGCCAGGCTTGAGGATGAGTCGGTCTGGCCCGAATGTAAAATATATGGGTTGGGCATGGCCAAAGAGTAAGGCCATAGGTTTGCTCCCCGATGGGCTTTTCAAAGCTTGGCCCACGGCCTGACCCTAGGCTCATATGAAAAGTCTAACCCAAATATATTAAATAATTGATATTATTCTCTCTGGTAATTTTTTTGTGTACATATATTTTTAACAAGACATTTATTAAGATTAAAGCTAAAAAACTAAGTGAGAAACACACTATGGAACTAATAATTATATTTTCACAAGATTAAAAATTTATGCAATTTAATAATATAATACATGTATTAAGGTAAGTTTGTATTTCAATAATTAAAGCTTATTTTTTATTTTTCATGATTTTCTAGTTGTTGCAATACATTTCAAAAGTTTGTATATAGTTCTCTTTTTCTAATAAATTTTTAATTAAAAATAAATAAATAAAATAAAATGGATAAATTAAACTTATCTCCCATGAGATTTCTGACAATTACAGGGACCTCCCCTTGTAATTTCAATAATTGCACTAACCTCCCTTACTTTTGAAGATTCTCCCACTGTTAAGCTATTTAATAGAATTTGTTGATATCATGCCAAAAATGACGAAATTGACCATTAATCACTCTATCTATTTAAATGAGAAATTTCACTAACTTCCCCTGAGGTCTTGCATATATATTATCAAAAATTCATACATATTTTAGCATTATTTAATAAAATTCTTAAATTTCATGTAATATTAAATAAAATCCTTAAATTATTAAGACATTATTAAAAAAAATTTATACAATTTAATAATATAATACATGTATTAAGGTAAGTTTGTATTTCAATAATTAAAGCTTATTTTTTATTTTTCATGATTTTCTAGTTGTTGCAATACATTTCAAAAGTTTGTATATAGTTCTCTTTTTCTAATAAATTTTTAATTAAAAATAAATAAATAAAATAAAATGGATAAATTAAACTTATCTCCCATGAGATTTCTGACAATTACAGGGACCTCCCCTTGTAATTTCAATAATTACACTAACCTCCTTTACTTTTGAAGATTCTCCCACTGTTAAGCTATTTAATATCATGCCAAAATGACGAAATTGACCATTAATTACTTTATCTATTTAAATGAGAAATTTCACTAACTTCTCCTGAGGTCTTGTATATATATTATCAAAAATCCATACATATTTTAGCATTATTTAATAAAATTCTTAAATTTCATGTAATATTAAATAAAATCCGTAAATTATTAAGACATTATTAAATCATTTAATGAAAAAAATAATAATTTTTATTGATAAAATACTTAAAAATAAATAATTTCTCTAAAATTAATGTTAGATGACATTCTAATAATTTAATGTAAGACTTATTTCACACTACATAAATAATCTAAAATTTGTTATTTTAAGTAATGCATTTATTATTTGATTTTTTTAAAAGTTAAAATAAATAGATTAATTTTTGTCCTGGCAATTTGCATTACTTATTTATTCATATGTTAAAAAAGTATTATTTTATCTTTTCTCAAGCATAGTCTCACAATAAATTAAAATTAGTTAATAAGGAATGAAACATTAAGAAATCATTTGAGAATAATAAACAATTCAAACAATTTGTCAATTTTTACACCTAAAATTAAAATTAATTTTTACATGAATGGAGAAATTATTTGAGAATACTAAAATACTCAATTAATTTGTTGTATGATACTTAAAAATTCTCCATCTTTATTTTTCTCATTTAAACTATTTTTATTAAATTAAACCTTAAAATTAATTTCTCACCTTCAATAATGGTTAAATTCTTATTTTATTTTTTAATTTCTCACCTTTATTTTGTTCTATTATTATTTATAGTAAAATGTTATTATTTAAATTATCTAATTTTACTTCTTCCGTATATCTAATACTCATATAATTTTATTGATTTTTAGAATTATTTAATAAAATTCTTAAATTTCATGTAATATTAAATAAAATCCTTAAATTATTAAGACATTATTAAATCATTTAATGAAAAAAAAAACTTAATTTTTATTGATAAATACTTAAAAATAAATAATTTCTCTAAAATTAATGTTAGATGACATTCTAATAATTTAATGTAAGACTTATTTCACACCACATAATAATCTAAAATTTGTTATTTTAAGTAATGCATTTATTGTTTGATTTTTTTTAAAGTAAAAATAAATATATTAATTTTTGTCCTGGCAATTTGCATTACTTATTTATTCATACGTTAAAAAAGTATTATTTTATCTTTTCTCAATCATAGTCTCACAATAAATTAAAATTAGTTAATAAGGAATGAGACATTAAGAAATCATTTGAGAATAATAAACAATTCAAACAATTTGTCATTTTTTACACCTAAAATTAAAATTAATTTTTACATGAATGGAGAAATTATTTGAGAATACTAAAATACTCAATTAATTTGTTGTATGATACTTAAAAATTCTCCATCTTTATTTTTCTCATTTAAACTATTTTTATTAAATTAAATCTTAAAATTAATTTCTCACCTTCAATAATTAAATTCTTATTTTATTTTTTAATTTCTCACTTTTATTTTGTTCTATTATTATTTATAGCAAAATGTTATTATTTAAATTATCTAATTTTACTTCTTCCGTATATCTAATACTCATATAATTTTATTGATAAGACTGAAAAATCAGATTCTAATACTAATTTAAACACACAACGAAACAAAATACTTTCTAAAGAAAAAAAATGTAATGTTAATTTAATTTACCCTATTAAATATATGTGAAATTATTATTTATTTTTCATAATTTTTTTAAAATATAAATGTAATTTCTTGAATCTATTTTTTTCCACAACAAGTTTTTGAACTTTTATAAACAAGAAATAAAATAAAAATTCAACCATTAATGAAGGTGAGAAATTAATTTTAAGATTTAATTTAATAAAAATAGCTTGAATGAGAAAAATAAAGATGGAGCAATATATTTTAAGTATCATACAACAAATATCATACAACAAATTACTTGAGTATTTTAATATTCTCAAATAATTTCTCCATTCAAGAAAAATTAATTTTAATTTTAGGTGTAAAAAATGACAAATTATTTGAATTGTTTAAATTCTCAAATGATTTCTTGATCTTTCATTCCTTATTAACTAATTTTAATAAATTACAATTTTTTTACTTCTATAATTATTTTTTAATTTTTTTAATCATGTAAGAATAACTTGTGTTTTTTTAAATATGCATCGATTAGAAATTTAATGACTCAAAGATAAAAATTAAAATTTGTTAATAATATCTTAACAATTTAGGGATAAATAAGTATGACAAATTGCTGGGGGAAAAAAAATTAATCCACTTGTTTCAACTTAAAAAAAAAAAAAAGAAAAGAAAAAAGAAATTTAAATAATAAATGCATTAATTAAAAATGATAAATTTTTCGTTATTTATAAAATGTGAAATAAGTCTTGTAAGTATTTTATTAATTATTAGGGTTTTATATTGTTATGTTAAAATATGCATAGGTCTTTAATAATATATATGCAAAACCTCATAGGAGGTGAGTGAAAATTTTCATTTAAATAGCTTATTAGTTGATTTTTTCATCTCTTCCCGCTCAATTTAAAGGGACAACATGGTCATTTTGAATAGTCAAATAGCGTCATTTGTACTAAATTAATGGGTTTGAGAAATCTTAATATTGTTAACAAAAAATAAAAAAAAAATTATAATTATTAAAACTATAAGAAAGATCCCTCTATTAGTCAGAAACCTCTAAGAGGTTGATAAAATTTCAAATAGAGCCATGTTAAGCCCATATGGGCGGAGCTCAGCTCGAATCTCTTAAACCCATATTTTAGTACCAATGGGAAGGGCCGGGTTTTAGAAATTTAGAATGGGTCACCCGGAACTCAGTCGTTAACTAGTCAAAGCCCATGAACTTAGGCCTGGGCCTAAGCCTGAGCCTGAGCCTTAAATTTTAGGATTGAGACAGGCCGGCCCATTGCTGAAGCTTAAAACAAGTAGTATATTACCAAGGGACAAATTTTGTCTATTCAACACTAGAGTCTCAATCATTTCTGCATTCTGCAACAAAACCAGTTTCTATTTTACTTTTTCTTTTCTTTTTGTTGTAAATTTGTTACTGTTTTTCCAACAATTTTCTTACAAATATTTGTTGAAAACAGGGTGTTTTCACAGATTATGAACAACCCTTTGCAGTGACATATCTTGGAACCTCACTACTCATACTTTATCTCCCAATATCATTCATAAAAGATTGGTTAATCAAAATTCTCAAACGTTGGTCCAATAAAATCAATACTACTGATGCCGAATTTCCCGGTAAGCCTCTTGATGAACTTGAAGCTTCAGAAGACGGAAACAAGTTGAAGCAGACATTAGAGATAGAAAATCAAGTGTCTATAGCTATAAAAGAGATTGGCAGAGACATTTATTACTGTCATGAGATAAAGCCATTAGTAGTGTTACAATGCAAAGAAGATGAGTTGGGAATGAAGAAGAAAGAGGAGAGGGAAGTTACTGCTTGGGACATTGCTGCTTTTGGGTTTTTCCTTGCTCCTATCTGGTTTGTATCAGAGGTGAGGGATTGGTGCTATGTATCTTTATTTTCTCTCACTTTCTCTGTCATTTTCTTTATGATAATTGTCATATCATATCTTTAAATTATGAGACAAAAATTATTCACACACCGTATTTGAAATCGTCCGAATTTTGCAAGCTAGACTGGTACAATCCTTGTCAACCGTGTTTGTCATCCTTATTGCCGGATGACCTATCAGACTACCGGCATGCACAAATTTAGACGATTCGAACGAGCTAAAATTTTGTGGATGTAGCATTGCTGATTATGAGATTAGATCATATTCTAGTGTAGTATTTTTTAGGGTAAATTACACTTTTCATTCCTAGAATTTTTTTCAAATTTTATTTTAGTCTCTATTATTTAAGTTTAGTTTTAATTTGATTTTTTTGTCCGAAATTCCGTTAATTTCTACTACATTGTGTTCAAAAATTGTTCAGTTTAATCTCCAATCAGGATGGAATGAGTAAATTGTAACTTGTTACAACAAATTAAGGTTTTAGACATAAAAATGTAGGAACAAAATCACTTTTTAGGAAACAAATATTTTAGTTGTCAAAAATGTCATTTAGTATTAGTGACAAAATTGGACATTAGTGATGAATAATTACCCATTTTGAACAAATTTTTTGCCTAAAAATTAAATCTTTTTGACACCAAATTGCTATCCATGCAATTTTTAGCAATATTTTTAAAATTTTTTCACTAAAAGTACTTTTTTTAGTTTTTGGGAACCACTTTTTAGCAATGCAGAAATTGGTCCATAAATATTTTTTTCAACAAAATTTCCACTTTGAGGAACAAAAAAGTTTAATCCCTAAAACTTTTATATGTCGTAGTCACTAGCGTGATAAGTATTTATTCAATTTAAGATAACAAGAATTAAAGTGAAATTTAGATCAAATTATCAGACTTAAAAATATAATTTACCCTATTTCTTATGTGTTTTTAGCATAACTTGTAGCATTAGTGTGGTAGCATTTGTTGTGCTATGCTAAAGTAATAGGTATTCCAATAGTGTAGTATTTTTACTGCTATTGTTTTATTCATCTACCTGGCAAACAATAATGCTTCAATTCATTAATTTAAGTTAAGAAATTTTATTAAAAAAATTAAATAAGTATGCTTCTATGTAGATGTAATTTTTATTTTTACATATTTAAGTTATTCATTGTTGTGTCGTTTCATTTTCTTGCAGTACTTAGCAAATGCTGCCCTTGCGCGAACAAGCGTTGCAACGACAACAGTTTTGTTCTCGACAACAGGACTTTTCACTCTCTTCATTGGTGCATTCCTCGGACAAGACACTGTAAATGTTGCAAAACTTGCTTCTGTTTTTGTCACCATGGCCGGTGTTGCCATGACAACTGTTGGGAAGACTTGGGCCTCCGATGAGGCAGAATCAAGCAATATTGTGTAAGTTTATTTTTTGTAATGTAAACTATGGAGTATGGACATTTAAAGCTTCAGGATATCAAGAAAATTAATTTAAATAAAGTATATAAACATGTTATCCAGTAAAATATGAATGAAAAAGATTATAGTGTTTTCCAAGAGAAAATTTTGAAGTGTTTCTCTTCTCTCTCAGAAATGAGTTATTATGCTCTTATACATTACGATAATGTTATAAACACACACACACACAAAAAAAATCATAAATAAGTGGACAAAATGTTGTTCTGCCAGCACTGCATTTATTTTGATATTTTGTGCTTTTTTCAAAAAAATATTATTTGTGTTTGTGTTGATTTTTTAATCTATTTATGTGATTCATATTACTTGTGTAGAGAAATTGATTAGTTGTGCACTTGTAATATATATAAGCTACTAATGAAATAATGGAAGATAGGGGGATCATTTGAAATTCAAAAATAATATGTACTTAGAAGAAATAGAACACTCAAAAATATATCCACCATTTAAATAAATGATGTGAATTTAAACTTGATTTGGCATGCGCTATTCTTAAAAGAAACTTTTCCACATTTTAAATTCTAAAAGTATATTTTTTAGATACGTAGTATTGTAGTTAGGAATTTTAATACTTTCATTTATTTTTGTGTGTTATTTATTTTATTTTATTTTTTGATAGCTTGAATGCTATATTGCTCATATATATTGAAGAACCCGACTAATAATTTTTTATTTATTTATTTTTGCATGCAGAAATGAGAAGCACTTGATTGAGGGTTATCTTTTTGGTCTGCTCTCAGCTATGACTGATGGACTTTTCACTGGTAAAATTTTCTCTTTTTCATTTAGATCATCATCATTGCAATGTCAATGTGAAAATGACTCTTGACACAGTGTTGCTCAACAAGTTTGTTCAAGAAGAAGGTGAAAAGGTGGATTTGCAAAAGATTTTTGGGTATATTGGATTGTTTACTCTTGTTGCTCTTTGGTGGCTAGGTAAGACTAAAATGCTTTTACTCTTTGTCTTTCATCTTCTTGAAATTCCAGATCTATTTCAACTCTATAGGGAATTGTAGGTTTTAGTTGCCCATAGATCTCAATTTTGAAGACAAACTGCGCATAAGTGTAAGGTTGCTTCATTATGACTTGAACATCATAAGTTTAAATTACATAAATAGTCTCTCTAGATCTTGTAATAGCAAGAATCTCATACTTATACAAACCTTACAGTAACGAGATTGCCCTTTATAGATTTTAATCTTAAGAGTAAAATTTCATTTTATCCTCCAAAAATTTCCTCAAAAATCATTTAGATCTTCATCTTTCTAATTGTATCAATTTTATATCTAAATTATTCTCATTTGGACCAATGTGATCCATGTCATCACCTATCGTCTATAATCAAATAGAATCTCTTCATTTTACCTTCAAGTTATCTCTCAAAAATTAACTACACCTTTGAATAGAGGGATAATTTGCAGGTGAAATGAAGCTTATATCTGATATATACGACAGGTGACGATATCGGTAACATTGATCCAAATCAAAATAATTTAGGTGTAAAATTGATATAATTAAAGGGACAAGGCTCTAATTGATTTTCAAGTAATACTTTAGAGGTAAAATGAAATTTACTCCATGACTGATGGACTTTTCACTGGTAAAATTTTCTCTTTTTCATCCGAAGTAGTAGGTGTTTGGGGTTGGCCTTTCTTAGTGATTTTCTTTTTTTGTTTTACTTTTTTATTTTTCAGTAAAAAAAAAAGTACAAAAAAATGAAGCAGCAAAATGAAAAAAGAAAATCAAAATTTTGAAAAAAGTTCAGAAAGGTCCCAAAAAAATAAAAATAGTTGATATTTTGGCATTTTTCTTGTATTTAGTGATTTTTTTTACTTTTTAGATTTGTCTATACATAAGACGCACTTGAAAAGTAAAAAAAAAAAAAATTGACATAATTTTTAAAAAAATCATTAAAAAAAAATGACTTTTTTCATTTAGATCATCATCATTGTAATGTCAATGTGAAAATGACTCTTAACACAGTGTTGCTCAACAAGTTTGTTCAAGAAGAAGGTGAAAAGGTTGATTTGCAAAAGATTTTTGGGTATATTGGATTGTTTACTCTTGTTGCTCTTTGGTGGCTAGGTAAGACTAAAATGCTTTTACTCTTTATCTTTCATCTTCTTGAAATTCCAAATCTATTTCAACTCTATAGGGAATTGTAGGTTTTAGTTGCCCATAGATCTCAATTTTGAAGACAAACTGCACATAACTGTAAGATTGCTTCATTATGACTTGAACATCACAAGTTTAAATTTCATAAATAGTCTCTCTAGATCTTGTAATAGCAAGAATTTCGTACTTATACAAACCTTAAAGTAACGAGATTGCCCTTTATAGATTTTAATCTTAAGAGTAAAATTTCATTTTATCCTCCAAAATTTTCCTCAAAAATCATTTAGATCTTCATCTTTCTAATTGTATCAATTTTATATCTAAATTATTCTGATTTGGACCAATGTGATCTATGTCATCACCTATCGTCTATAATCAAATAGAATCTCTTCATTTTACCCTCAAGTTATCTCTCAAAAATTAACTACACCTTTGAATAGAGGGATAATTTGCAGGTGAAATGAAGCTTATATCTGATATATACGGCAGGTGACGATATCGGTAACATTGATCCAAATCAAAATAATTTAGGTGTAAAATTGATATAATTAAAGGGACAAGGCTCTAATTGATTTTCAAGTAATACTTTAGAGGTAAAATGAAATTTACTCCAATTCTAAATGCCTAACTTTATGGAAGCTAACCCTTGTACATTAATTTGTAGCATAATTTGCAATCAAATTTTTTGTCAAATTTTTTCATCACTGGATACAAAATTAATGAATCCCACATGTATTTATTAGTGTGGATCCGATTACTTTCGTTTCCAATAATAAGAAAATTTAATAAAAAATATGTAGCCTTGTTTGATTTACATCTCCAAATTTTTTGTTTCAATTCTTTTCACATAGTAATCATTGGAATTGACTGACTAATAATGCATTTCTTTAATTTCTTTGGCAGTGTGGCCTCTAAATGCAATGGGTTTTGAACCAAAATTCACATTGCCTCAATCCACTAAAATAGCTCAAGTAGTCATTGCCAACAGCTTTATGGGCAATGTTCTCTCTGACTATTTCTGGTATGTTCAAAAAAAAATTTAAATAAAAAATAAAAAAATAAAAGAGTTCTTCTTTTATACATATATATATAGATGTTCAGCTAATTGTTCTTTATATGTTTCTGATAACGAGTTGATCATTCTTTTAGGGCATTGGGTGTGATTTGGACCACCCCATTGGTGGCGGCAATAGGCGAATCGCTCAGCATCCCGCTCGCCATGGTGGCAGACATAGCAATCCATCATCAACACTACTCACTAATCTATATTCTTGGCTCCGCTCAAGTAACTGAGAAATTTCTCTATTCTTTGAACAGAAGACCTTTAAAACTAAGAGCAATATTACATCTACTAACATTCTTACTAATAATCTTACTAAAAACATACATGTTTAAATATTATTGGATGTTTAAATAACATTACTTTTTTGACAACCAATCATATTTAGCCTATTGTATTTTTAATAAAAATTTTAGTAAGCTTAATAGTATACCTAAAATTATTCTAAAACTAATACTATGTGCCTGTTTTAAATTTTGATATATCATTAAATCTATATCGTGCCGTTCCTGTATTTGTACTTCCTAGGCCTAAACTATATAAGAACTGAAAAAATAGCTAGTCTTTTTTTTTTCCTTAGAAATTTGATTATTTTTGTTATGTTAGGTATTTATATGTTTATGGTAATGTTTTAATTTCAGGTATTTCTCGGATTCGTAATTGCGAACCTTGCAGATTGGTTCCCACCAAAGGGGGCATCATGGGTCTGGAATTCAGTGTGGTAGATTCCACATTGCTCGGATGGTTTTTTATTTTTTTGATACATCATAGGCTGTGTCATCCTAGTGAGGTGCAAAGATACTTCTTTTTTGAGGGGTTTTATTTTTTTAAATAGATTCATATGATCACAACTAATGTACTAATTACAATGGCCTTCACATTACATATCTGTTTTATATGTAATCTAATTTTTAGGAGGGGATATATATTTATGTACTAATAAACTTACAATAACAATTAATGTCAGTTATCAATGTAATAGGATAATAAACACTTTATGATGTATAAATATGATAATTATAGCATTATTGATAAACTTATTATTAGACAAATAGTAATCATGTCAAACACTTTTTACTAGGTCCATTACTTGTTTCTAGTTCCTCAAAACTTTAACCTCAAGATGCAAGTCTCAAAAGTGTTTTTGATTTTTTATTACTACTTACTACTGTACTTCAGAACATAAAATAGAATAGAATAGAATAAAAACTGAATCATTAGATACTCTCCGGACAATCACCCAAAACTGGGACCATGCTGTCCCTTGCATGCAAAACCTAAAACAAAATCAGATTGTTGGCCTCAAAATTCTCTCAACGGTTGGGCATTTAGTGTCACATCTCAGAACAACAAAAACACACAAATAAATAAATAAGTAGAAGGCAAATCTTATAATGTGCAAACCTAAGATTGTATTTGGAGCGTAGATATAATGTTGAGTTACAACAAAATTTAATTCATATCATATGCTAATTGTAATTGTGTCGTAACTTTAACAACACAACCACATTAAATCATAACATTAAGGGCGACTCCTCCACAATAAAAAGTAAAATCAACATCTTCGGTTCTCCATGCTTTCTCCTGTATGAATGCAACTATCAAATGTTACCAGTGCGTTTTCCAATAAAATAACACAAACCAAGTTATTAATTTTTTTACATAATTTCTGTCAAATGGAATCAAGATTTCACAAAAACCATCATATTCATCATTTACAAACAGGGAATTTGCAGATAGTGATGCCCCGGTGAACATTTTTTAATTAATTTTGTTACATGCCTCTACTAATGGCCCCGTTTTTAGCAGGATATGACAAGCATGGAGTAGATTCAACAGTAATAAATCACGTGCAGCTTGTCAAAGATTTGAGAAATTCAAATTCAACTCAATTACCTAAACAAGCTGAGGTCAAGGCCAGACTAGAGCTTTGAAAAACAATTAAACTTGAATTAATATGTACTTTCAGAGAGAGATGGAGAGAGATAGAGAGAGAGAGAGAGAGGATTATAAGCATAATATTAAAAAAATGCTGATATTATTAACAATTTTCATATATCAAGTACGTAAATTTGCACCAAAAAAATAAATAAATAGATAAACTAAATTAAATTAAATTAAAGAAAATATATTTGATATATTATTAAAAATAAATATTAATTTATATATCACTGTGTTCATAAGCCTATTCAAACTGAGCTTGGGTCTACTCGACCTCAACTCAACTACTAAACGAGCTAAAAAATTTGGCCTGAGTTGTTCATAAACAACTTGCCTTCATTTGCTGCCTTCATTCGGGTTAGAGAGAGAGAGAGAGAGAGAGAGTTGTTACCAATTGCTACAGTGACAAAATCAGTTAATTCAGCTTAATACATGGATCCTACTATATCCTAGCTCACAAATTTATCAGCAAGTAAATAAATGACATTAGATCAACCCAAGAAAGAAGAGGAAAAGCCAGTGCTTGTTCAATAGATCTCTAAAATTCAGATTGAAACATGGACATGCCATGTATGGAATTAGTACATCAGCAAACAACAGCTCCAGGCGTTGCAACTCCAGAAAATCCATCCAAAAAGAGGAAGAAGAAAAAAAAAAAAAAAAAAAAAAAAAAAAAAAAAAAACACAGAACAGAAAGAATCAACCCACAAACAACACTAGAATGGGGAGAAAAAATGAATCAACTAAACCGATTCTTTTCTATTTCATTTTCCTTTTTTTCTGTTCTTTTTTAAAACGGAATCCATACTTTTATGTCAAAAAACTTCTGAATGCAGGAGAATGCCTCAAAAATTCAGGCTCAGTTTACGCTTCAACAAAGAGTCAAAAGATATACAAATTACCTCTCAAAAATGTACTTGGAGCGCTGAAGGAGCTGCTGCATGTTCTTCCTACTGAAGATGCCAACAACTCAATGACACTGGTTTTTGCGGGTATCGGTATACGACAATGGCCATTTTCTTCATTAACTGCATTAACCATGTCCCCCAATCAAATTGTTTTACCCACAAACTCAGTTTCTGTAGGCATATCATGATTCAACTGGGTTTTCACTTTCTTTGTAATAAAGCATCTTCTGCACGTAGAACATCATGTATCCTTGTGCAGCCCTCACAACGTCTTCATTAACTTGACTAATCCAAGCATCATCGCACTTGTACCATTGATTCCTTAGCCGCAAATAAGTCACATAATGGCCAGCATCTAGTTTGCCTTTGTGACTGATGACAGCAAACAACTCAAACTCCGAAGACAACTCAGTGGAAGCATCTGGGTCATCCCCATCAAAAGAGAATATTCTGTTTCCAAATCGACTTCTCAAGATAGATGAAGAAAGATAAGGTGTCATGTCTAAGGAAAATGGGAATTGTAAATAGCGGTCAACCTTTCTTGACATTTTTCGGATCGGAGAATGCTCAAATCTTTTGATGTGAAAACAATAAACCAATGGAAGCTTCCTTATAGACATCTGTTTGAGAGATTCCTGTCTCACTCGACACCGTTGGCAGAAAAACTTTTGGTCAGAACCTAATCTCTCAGGTCTTGTAAAGCGGTCCAAACACCCCGTCAGGGTAGCTATTCCACAGTTTTGGCTTGAATTCATGGAATCTGCCTCGCCATTACAGGAATGAAGGGATTTTGTTGATGCCCCATTTGGTTCCAAGTCCAATGAGATGTCAACACATGGATCATACGTTGTTGACGTAAAACCACATGCAGTACACATGACATCGGATTGCAAGACGCCAGAGAACACTCTATGTGCAATACAACAGTCTCCATTGTCTGCACTAAGGAAAAAATAGGATAAAAACATTTTAATATGATATTAAATAATCTGATATAACGAATACTTTTTTGTCACGGCAGTCAGTATCACAGACCTGAGATATTATTTATCACTATAGACAATTGATATCATAGGAGTATTCAATTATTATGTGAACAAGGCAGTGCAAATATATATGAAATTAAGCAAATGATTGATTCAGCAAGCAATCCATAGCTACATAAAAAAAAAAAATTGTTAATGATTCTAGAAAAACAACTTACAAAACTACTTATTAGACTGACTATCAATGTTACACCTGCTTCATTTTGGATATTTCTGCTATTGGCAGAAAATCATGATCATAATCATATTTGGAAGATCTCTATGTCGTCTTAAATGTCTATAGAACTAAGGCCTTGTTTGGGATGTGCTAGAATAGCACATCTTTTTATCTTATTTTAGTCACATCATCTCTTATTTGGGTCACATCACCTCACTACCACATTTCACATCTTTTCGTAAAAAGTCCAACAGCATACTTATTTAGACTATCCCAAACAACTCCTAAATTATGAATTTAAATTTTACTCAACTCCATTTTGTCATATCCATAGCCCACTCTCTAACAAGTTCTCAACAAAGATTGCTCATAACTAATTCATACTTCTACTGAAATCCGAGACAATTGGAAGAATAACTGACTTATGGAGAGGAAACTAAAGCAGCACAGTTTAATGCCATGAAGAAGTTCAAAGGATAGATTTGCCAAGATCTCTGCCAAAAGCATAAGGTCCTGAGAAACACTGATCTGCGAAAAATGTGAGATCGTAAGGTTTTGACTCAATGATTTGGCCTGGTTGTCAACCTCTCGAACACACTGCAGGATTGGGATCAGCATCAACGTGACACAAGAAATCCTAAGTTGAAACCAAGTAGACTTAGGAACAAGGAGACTTACTGGAGTGAAGCAGATGGCAATCTTGCAGGTTGAGTATTAGCCCTAAATCTGAGAGCACTTGCCAACGCCTAAAGCAACAAGGGACGACCTAAACCCACACCCTGCAGTTGAAATATGAAGTTACTTCTTTATCTTTCACATATGTTGGATCAGCTTGATCATAACATAATATGAGTACCAGAATAGTGAAGGTAGGGACATTAGGTGATTGATAAAATTATTTTGGAATCGAAGAAGGCTTCATTTGTGCCTCATTACAAATCTACAATCCTGTAGGCTGTAGTGATTAATTTTAAAAATTAAAAAAATAAATTCAATGTTTCCGTAAGCTCTCTAATGGTCTCAAGCTCTTGGGTTACTGTGATGCTGCCACTCAGGCTAAGTTATCACAATCATGTAGCTTGAATCCTAGTCTTAGGAAGAAGGCCATGAGCTTCTCATTATCTTGAAGCAAATTGTTAAGAGTTAAACTCATGATTTCCAAGAACAAGACCCAAATCACCAATTAAAATTCTAGTCTATAAACTTCACAATTGCACCATCCACATGGGAAGATCAGAAACAGGATCCACATAATGTCATGCACATAGTGTTGGCTTCATAATTTATAGGAAATGTGAAGTACAAAAACATGCAAAAACAAGTGTAAAAGCATGTTCATGGAAACCGAAACATCTTAGAAAAACTGCAAACTTATAATTATAACAAACTAGCCCAGTTCCTGCATCATTACTATAAGGCTGTGTACGGATCTTGGATTTGGATAGAGATTTGTAGAGAAAGGAAATGGAGAGGGAAATGCCTACCCAAATCCATAATCCAAATACAACCTTAGCGTGCTAGAATGCATGCAGACATGCAAAATGAAAGGGGCCCACAGCAAGACAGGTCTTATCTAGAAGGTTCTTTGGGCCAAATATTCAAGCATTTTGTTTTGTACTTTCTTACAACATAAAACAGAGAGAATATAGATCATTCCAAACTGAACTGGGACCTTTTGACCAGTATCTTCCCCAAGTTGCATAATTACAACATAAACTTCACACTTATTTTTCAGTCCCCAACATCTAGTTTTTGAGGCTTTGACCATGCAATAGAAGTAAGGGACAACACATCTCAAAAGACAAGCACTACCAACAGAGAAATTTATGTGGCAGGGAATGAATTTACCTTGACTGTGGGGCTTTCTTTTGTCTCTCATCTTTTCATGAATTCCATCAAGTATGGAAATGAAAAATTCATGCGCATCCTGTTGCTCATAGCTTGCCAGGTTAGCTGCATGTTGCCACCAACTGTAACAGAATTGCAAAAAGTAAATAAACATATATATATATATATATATATATTATTTGTCCACAACGATTGAAATGTTCGAAGTGTTGGTGTTCAAAATGTTTGAACACAAGAAAAGGTTAGTAGATCCACAAGAGCAAATACATATAGACATACATACATACACCACACATGTTGCCCGGGGATTACAACCAAATTATCATCTACTAAACATCTATTTACCCACAATTTGTTGCCATAATTTTTGCTAAAGATTAATAGTTTAGGTATCTTTTGATGGGGAGTGAAAATGAGGTATAACCAACACACACAACAGAATATAGGCAAACCAATTTCCAACTAACTCACTAATGCTGATAAGAGAAGAGATTAATATCAAAAAGTTTTGCAATACCAATTACAATCACAATTTGAAATGAATTAAAAATCAAGAATTGATGCATTAACAAGGTCCAAGCTCAAAGAAGACCTGTATAGAAATTTTACAGGGCTATAGGGCATCCGATCTCCGGAAAACACAGCTGAAAACATTGCATCCACGTCGCAAGCCAAACATAGCCTCGAATTCTTGACACCATTCCTCTGATGACAAGAGTGCCGATTTTGCCGATCGCTCATGAAATAGTTCCTCAAAGGCACACTATGAAACAATGCTTGCAACACAGAGTTCATAAAACAAGTGTTCCCGAGATTGTTAAGACCTCTCAACCCCCACGGTAGTTCCGAAGACGATTCTCCATTCAACCGGCTTGAATTTCTCACCACCAATGTGCTCTCGATCGGATCAGGCGTCCACGGCCGATAATCCACGCGCCGCCGCTTCCGAAGCCCAGCCGATCCGCCACCAAGCGTCGAGGCGGCGGTCAGCGCGAGGACCACGGCGGCGTCGAAATCACGGTCGTAGACCTGGTCCCGGCACAAGCAGCAGAACAGCTCAGCTCGATCGACGTCCACCGCGATCCCGTGGCCCTCCGCCGCCGTCGCCGTCGCGTGAGCGGAGGCGTGGACGTAGCAGTTGACGGCGGCGCACGATACGCATAAATAGAGCCTCGCCGGAGCATACAGGCCGCAAGAACCGCATCGCGGTACCTCGTTAGGGTCACGGCGGATCGCCGCCGTGCGCGGCGGCCGAACCCTAAGGCAGTCCTGCAAAGCTCGGAACGGCGTCGTACCGTGCCGCGATCGGAACTCCGTCAAGTGCGAACAGGTCTCCGGCAACAGCAAACCGTTTCGCCTCTGATGATTCGAGTGATCATCCATCATCATCATGTATGTGAAACAACTCAAACCCTAACCCTTCTCTCCAGCAATATATATATATATATATATATAAATATATAAATCTATTGGTATATCTATGTATATATCAATCTATCGGTATATATGAAGGGATCGAAAAAAATGGGAATGAGATCTGAGATTAGGGTTTTGGATTGAATTTCTTCTTCACTTCAGATCTATCTCTTTTATTTGGGATTAAATGGAAAAATGTGATTTTTTTTTTAATTTAATTTTTATCAGTATAATTTTGGTATTGTTTGTTGCTGAAAAAATGGGTGGAAATGGTGACTGACTTATATTTTTTTTTTCTTTTTCTTTTTTTTTTTTATAAATTACATTGAAAAAGTTGTAATGCGTCGGCATAATTTATATGGGTTTTCTTTTATTTTTTTTTAAATTACGTGATATTTTGAATGGTTTTATTAATTTTTTACTATCACTGTTTTATTTAATATATTTTTGTTTTAACTTAGTATTAATTATTATTAAAAATATAAAAAACAAATAATTTAGTGAAAGGAAAAAAAAAATTACATGTAGCAGTTAATTTTGCAATAAAATCAAGATTAAAACACAACGGTAAAATTAATAGTTTATTTATCAAATTTAAATTTTTAATATAATCGTTATGGAACACTTTATTTGATTTTAATTTTTTGAATTTAATTTTTTTAAATTGAGTTTTTTTTTATTTTTTTTATATTCTTTTGTTTTTAATGAATTTTTTTAATATTTAAAAAAAATTGATAAACTTAATATAAATATAATTAAAATGTATAATATTTGTGAAAAAAATTAAAAATTCATTAAATATCAAAAATATAAAAATATATATATTAAAATTCAGTACATCTTTGTATTCTTGTGTATTTATTAATTTTTTATAAATATTTTAATTTTTAAATACATCTAGATTATGTGCATGTAAAAAGTAAAAAAAAAAAAATTACTTTAAATATTAAAAACAATTCACTAAAAATATAAAATATAAAAATATCAACTTTTAAAAAATTAAATTTAAGAAATTAAAACCAAACAAATTGTATATTTTTCTTAAATCTCAAAAGACATTAGTGTACTTTGTATTTATTTATCAAAAGCTATATAGTGAAAGGATAAAGCGAAGTTTGGAAAAGTTAATGTTAATTATTAAAGGGTAAATTAACAATTATTATTTGCTTTTCAACTTTATTTTAGATTTTAAAGTTTTAATTTTTATTATGACTCTAAAATGTCTAGTTATTTTATTTAAGTCCTTCAATGTAACTCTTACATTTTTCATTTTTTTATTTAAACCTTTTAATTTTAATAATTAAGTCAACATAGTCCAATTTATTAACTAATGTGCATAAAAACTATCATATACTCTCTAAATTATAATTAAGTCAACATAGTCCAATTTATTAGCTAATGTGAATAAAAATTGTCATATACTCTCTAATTTATTTAATTTTAAGCTTTATTAAATTAAAAAAATGATAGTTTAAATTCAAAAGAAAAAAATATGAAGTGTAAAAGCTATTAACAATTTTAAATGAAATAAATTTTTATTTTTTTGGGAAAAAATGATAATTTTTCTTAAATAAGTAAATAATTTTTTTATCTCAAATGGTTATGGTTATCTCTAATATTTATTGTATTTGTGAAGTAAGACAAATGTATTTTTGAACCATGGAGTTTTTTTTTTAGGAGAACAAATGATGGAATGTTAGTGGATTAGTAGATTAAATTATAACAAAAAAAGATTAATAAAAAAATAATAAATTGTCAAATTATATCCATAGATTGATAGAATGTTTGATCCCCCTCGTATATAAATGCACATCTAGGGGTGTAATTTTGGCCCGCTGCCCAAGGTGGGCTCGACCTGTTTAGGCCCGAGCCCGAGCCCAGCCCGAGGCCTTAGGTCAGGACCTGGGCCATCGTTTTGAAGCCCGGCATGGCACATGGGCCCGGCCCCATCGGCCTGCTCAAGGCCCGCCCAAAAGTCCGGCCCGCCCGAGACTCGGTGTTATTTTTAATGAAAAATAATAAAATTTTGGTGAAAAAAATTAATAAAAAAAATAAAAAAATTATTTAGGCCCGCCCAAGCCCAAGCCCAAGCCCAGGCTTAAGCCCAGGGGCCCAGCCCACTAGCCCATCCAAAACCCGAATACCCCTAAGCCTGAGCTTGGGCCTGGGCTTAGTTTTCTGGCCCATGGGTCGACCCAGCCTGATTTTTTGGTAGAAGCTCTCAAGGCCCAACATGGGCCGGGCCAGAATTACACACCTATGCACATCATAGATCCATCAACTCAAAATCTTGAACATGTGATATTCACTATCCCAAAAGATAATTACATGAATTATTAGACCGTCTTTGTTAATATATTTTCAGTAGTGATTGGTAGCTCGAATTTGAGCCCCCGAATTCAAAAAACGACATCGTTTTTTTTTTTTTTTCAGAAGAAGAAAATTAGAGGAAGAAGAGAAGAAGCAGAGGCGGAGGCGACGGCGGCCGGCCGGAGGTAGACGCGGACGAGCTACGACGATCGGTCGGGCTGCGACGATCGGCCGGAATGCAGGGACCTCTCTGTGTCTCTGTATGTGTCTCCATTCCCTTTTCTCCTTTCCCTCTCCTCTCCTCTCTCTTTCTCCCTCTCTCTCTTGCCTTCGATTTCTTCAGATTCGGGGGAATGATTTTTCGAGGGAAAAATCATTTCTCAATATATTTTTTTTCTTTTGATATAAGGGACCTTTTTAGTTTTTTATAAAAAAAAAATAAATTAAAAAACAAACAAACACACAAACAAACAAACTATTTGAGGCCCTGATTGTAGCGTGTAAGCTTTTAAAAGGTCATGGCCTAAAACAATAGATTTTTGTAGTTAACTTCATCTCTATATCCTTGGTCAATAAGCATCCTAACAACTTTTTTGTTCCAAGGCCAAGTTTGGGAAGATCCAAAAAAGTCAAAAAGCTAAAAAGTTACTCAAAAAGTTAAAAAGTTAACACTATTCACCAAAAGTCAACAATTACGGCTGCACAACTCCTTTTTTATAAAAAAAAAATAAATTAAAAAACAAACAAACACACAAACAAACAAACTATTTGAGGCCCTGATTGTAGCGTGTAAGCTTTTAAAAGGTCATGGCCTAAAACAATAGATTTTTGTAGTTAACTTCATTTCTATATCCTTGGTCAATAAGCATCCTAACAACTTTTTTGTTCCAAGTCTTTGTGATTTACGTTTAAAGTCTCTTTGGTCTTCCTCTCTTCTCTTTTATTTATTTATTTATTTATTTTTTCATAGGTGAATTTGTTATTAAACAAAAATAAAATTGCATTAAACAATGATCAAACAAAAAAAATTGATATAGAAAGCCAATAATTAGCTTAATGTGACTCGATTGTAATAATGTTATAGCTATTATATTTTTATATCATACTATATTATATTTATCATTAATACAACACAGATTAGTCGATTCACACATCAAATAATAAAATAAAATTATAAAAATATATAATCATTGCAACGTTGCTATACATATCAAACACAAATTAACCAATGTTAGAGTTGAGCCATAACACTAATCAATAAAGCTGGGTATAGGAATTAAATATTTTAATTAAAAAGTCATTATAAATTATTAAATTATTTTTTCTATTTTTTTACTTATCTTTTTATAAAAATTTAAAAAATATTTAAAAAGTCAATTCATAAATGAGCCCCAAGTGTTTACCACTGTCGGCATGAATAGCACACTGTTCATAAACTTAAGTAATAAGCTATCTATAGAGCCCTTTTAATCCTCTTAATTATAAAAGTACATGATCATGGTTGATATTCTCATTAAGTTGTTATAATGAAATTATAAATTTGGATATTTTAGACTGATGATATTTCATGGTTGTTGTGGGGATATATTTTCTGAGTACCAACACGTGGCAAGGTGACGCCGACGTGTCAGCCGAGATGCCATGTGTCTTGATCGTTGTGCCGAGGTCATCTCGGCTAGGCCGAGGTTGCCTCCGAAGATATCGGAATCTGAGATAAGCGGATAAGGGACAAGAGTCCTAGAATGAAAAGGGAACTCAACCTAGATATGGACAACAGTCCTAGATTCCATTAGGGCCAGGCTCCTATTGGGATTAGGATTGTATTGGCTATAAAAGAGAGGCACCCCCATGGGTCTAAAGTATGCTTTTGATACTCAAGCTTGTGAGTTTAGTACTTGATTTATCTTTGAGAGATATACTGACTTGATCGTCGGAGTGCCCCTGGGTGGTCGAAACCACCACGGGATTCTTATATTTCTGTTGCAGGTCAGTCAGGTGCCATCTATTCTGCTAGTGCTCTCCAGCTGGTTACTAAGCGGGCGGTGTGGTCGGAAAATCACCCACACAATTTGGCGCCGTCTGTGGGAAAGAAAGAAGAATAGATGGCCAATGACGGACAGAATGATCAGATTAGAGACAATGCTCCTACTGGGAGTGGGAGACCTATCGATCTCGACATTGAAGGGGACGATCGCAACACAGAAACTCGTGACCAGCGTCACGGAGTGAAAGACGCCGGTCAGGAAGGTGACGCACCAAAGACAACAGATCGAAGCAGATACTACAACGGAGATGACCTCCAGGTATGGAAGGATAGATACCTACGGAGGAACGAAGACCCTTCCAGAAGGGATGCAAAGACAGGGGGCATGAGCGCTCCCAAGGAGATAACATTCAAGTATAGAAGAGCTCAACCTGAGTGAGCAAATCCCGGATCCCAGATCCCAGAAGACATGATCTCGGCCTAGATGAGTAGGTCCGAGAAAAGAAGAGCTCAACCTGAGTGAGCAGATCCAAGATTCCAGAAGATAAGATCTCAGGACCTGAGTCCGAGAAGAGAAGAGCACAATGAGCAGATCTCAGATCCCAGAAGATAAAAAGGAAACACACAAGATCAGACTAAAGTTGGCCAGAATTGAGAAGTATGCTAGGGCCGAGGACAAACTATCAATACTCAAACAGTATGTACTCGTTACATTGAAAAAGTTTGCTTGAAATTACTAAAGCACAATTTTGAGATGCAAAAACATCATTCAGTAAAAGAAATATTAATTTATTCCTTATCATTATATAAAATAATTTTACTGAAATAATCTGTCATGATTTTGATTCTAGTATAAACTTGCTCTGATACCACATGTAAGATTTTAGGATCTATATACTAGAAATCAAAACAATATGAATATATATAAACTCAGATACATAGGGTGTGTTTGGTAACGTTTACATTTTCAGTTTATATTTATAAAAATTTTATAAACTGGTTTTTGTTTATTTTTTGTTTATTTTTAGAAAAATATAAACTACAAACGTGTTTCGTAAATGACAAAATGTTTAAAAAATTTTAAAAATATAAAAAAGAGTGAAAAATGGCAAGTGGTGGCAAGTGGCGGCGAAAGACGGTGGTGGAAAGTGGTGACGGTGGGTGGTGGGTTGCTGGTGGTGGCTGACGGTAGCAGGTGGGTGGGTGATGGTGGCGGGTGGTAGCGAGTGGGTGGTGGTGGTGGTGGTGGCCGGTGGTGGGTGGTGGTGGCAGGTGGATGGTGAGTGGTGGTGGCAGGTGGTGGGGGCAGGTGGGTGGTGGGTGGTGAGTGGTGGTGGCAGGTGGTGGTAGGGAGTGGGGGGTGGTAGCAGAAGACGGTAGTGGAAAATGGTGGCAGGAGGTGGCTAGTGTTGGGTGGAAAAAAAAAAAAAAAAAAACTGAAAACCCAAAATGGAAACACATTTTTTGTGTTTTCATTTTTTGGCCAAATTTATAAACTGAGACCACTGATTTATAAATCAAAAATTTTACCAAACAAGTTTTTATTCGAGTTTTTTAAATTTTTGTAAATATAAACAGAAAACTGAAAACGTAAGTGTTACCAAACGGCACCTAAATCAGTGGTGTCAAGTATAATTCTTATTTGTGCTCAAAATGCCTATGTGTTGATAAATTTGGATTCCACGCATTCATTTGTATCGCATGCTTTTTCTTAGAAATTAACTATACCTTTAGAATCTAGGAACTGTTTACTATCCGTGTCTACACCATCTGGAGGTTCTATGATATGTGCATATGTTTATTCGGCATATGATATAATCATTGGTGATTTGACATTATATGTTGATTTGCTGCCTTTGAACAATGATCATTTTGAGTATATACTGGGCATGGATTGGTTGACCAAGTATTATGCTACTGTTGATTATGTGAATAAATTTGTTGTATTCCAACCTTTGGGGTTACCGGAATTTGTGTTTACTGGAAATAGAGTAGTTCCTCCATCGTATTTGATCTCTTTTATGAAAGCCAGTAAATTGTTGTGAAAAGGGTGTCGAGGTTATCTATGTTATGTTTTGAATGCGATTGTTGATAATACTAATGTCGAGAGCATCCCTATAGTTAATGACTTTCCTGATATCCCAATGAATTACCCAGGGATTTAATTGATAGAGAAATTGAATTTTCTATAGATGTCGTGCCCGGAACACAACCAATTTCAAAAACCCCATATCGAATGTCAACCTCTAAATTGAAAGAATTGAAAACTCAATTACAAGATTTGTTAGACAAGAAATTTATCCATCTGAGCACTTCACCCTGGGGTGCTCCAGGGTGAAGTGCTAGATCTTATTTTCAATAAGACTTGATAGAAATTAAATCCAACTGTTAAGACTTATTAATAATTTATTAAATCAGTCTCATTTTAGTCATGTATTTTCTAATATTAAAAAACATATAATTCGTGAAAAGAATTAGTTTGAGAAAAATACTAATAACCAGGCAATACAATAGTAAATCTAACTATTTCTTCTTTTGAGAGTAGATTTGAACAATCTTAAAAAGGTTAATTTTTATTTAATTTTGAAAAATTGAAATCAATGACAATTTGAAACATGGGAATTTTTCGAATGTTTTCAGATTTGTTTTCTTAACTAAAAGTTTTACACAAATTTATATAAATAAGAAAAAATAAAAATACACCAATTGACATATTAAAAAATCAGATTTACTTCAAATGCATGAATTATAATTTATTTTTTTTTAATAATTGGGAACTGTATCTTAATTAAAGTCTTTTGGGCTTATCTTAATCACGTAATTTCAAAGATCAAGTAACACCCTTAAATTGATTAAGTCCATTAGGGCCAGGCTTCTTTTGGGACTAGGATTGTATTGGCTATAAAAGAGAGGCACCCCCATGGGTCTAAGGTATGCTTTTGATACTCAAGCTTGTGAGTTTAGTACTTGATTTATCTTTGAGAGATATACTGACTTGATCGTCGGAGTGCCCCCGGGTGGTCGAAACCACCGCGGGATTCTTATATTTCTATTGCAGGTCAGTCAGGTGCCATCTATTCTGATAGTGCTCTCCAGCTGGTTACTAAGCGGGCGGTGTGGTCGGAAAATCACCCACACAGTTGTTATTCTCATTAAGTTCGTTAAAATTATAATGAAATTATAAATTTGGCAATTTTAGATTGAAGATGTAGAATTAATTAGTTAGATTAAATCTATGAAATAATATAAAAATCCTCATCCTCTAAAAAGTTATTTTGTTAATTTCATAAAGTAAGAGCAAATTAGCCTTTTAACCTCCTACAATTCCATGGGATGTGATTAACAATGTCACCCTCATCGCCAACCTCCCATAAGAGGATTCATAATCCTATAGAATTCTTAGACTGAATTTAGACCCTCAATTTGAATAGAGATTTATAAAAGGAAAATAAATGTCAAGAAAACATGAATAAAACTTAAACCTAAATTATTATTTTTCATTTCTCTCAATTTTTTCTTTTCCTTTTTAAATCATTACTGAAATCATAATTCAAACATAATTTTAGTCTTATGCCATTTTCATTACTACTAAACATGATTTATGTGAGACTCACACATTACTAATTCAATTCTACCCTATAAATTGGTAATCAAACATGGCCTAAAGTCCTTTTAAGCCTTTGATTTAGATTTATTTGTTTATAATTTTTTTGGTACATGATTGATTGAGATGCCGTCTTTAGCAGGGAAAGCAATGAGAATAATTGTTGCAGAAAACATTTTCAAACATTTTCATCACTGAGAAATGAACATTTCTGTTGCTTAAAGAATTAACTATAAACTACTTTTAATCCTCAGAATGGATATATATATATATCTAATATATCAATGGTGGTCCACAGGACCCATCAAGATTAGATATTTCCCTATCTTTTGGTGACTTCGTTAAGACCCTCTCACATCTGATAAACCCTATGAAATTTCGCAGGAGGAATTTGACAAAGACCCCCTCTTGTTTGGTTTATTCATGCTACATGAGCAAATCATAATCCTCCACGTGGCAGCATCTTTGTTTGGTTTATTCATGCTACATGAGCCAATCCTAATCCTCCACGTGGCAGCATTTTTCGAGTGGGACTGGACAGGCAGCTTGTCATTTACCTAATTTCATATTTTAACCGCAGTTTGTTTTGACATGTAAAATATTGCTCAACAAAAAATTTCTATTAGAAACATTTTCTTTACGATCTTGAAATACATGTGTTAGTAATAGTACCTAGGGCCAAGTGTTAAAAAAAAGACTACAACATAGAAAACTATTAGAAACATTTTCTTTAGGATCTTGAAAAATTTCATATTTTTTTGAGTTTTTGATTTTTTTTAAACTATCCAAAATTGGCCCTGGTCTCATATCTTAAGCTCAGTTTGTTTTGGCATGAAAAATATTGTTCAACAAAAAAAATTTATTAAAAATATTCTTACCGTAGGCTACAATCTTGAAACACGTGTTGGTAATTGTGTATTTGTGGTGGTGTTGATTTGGAGATCTGCGATTTGAATGGTGGGACAATACTAGAGTGACGATGGAAATAGTAATTGGTAATAGTGACAATAGCAGAGGTAGTAATAGTGTAATGATATTAGTAAGATTTTAGTCTGAAAAATATTTTTAATCTTTCAAAAGTAACAAATATTTTTTGTCTAAATAAATTTATTTTTCATTTTCTAGCTTACCAAGTGTCAAAAAATACATATAGCTTTTTTTTTTTAAATGCCAAAATAAACAAAATGTTAGAAAATGAAGGGCGTCTTTATTTACTCTAATTTGCATAAAATTACTATATACAATTTACATACTTCTAGGATTAGTAGTCAACGCTCGTGCATCTCATTCACAAGTCACGAGTTTGAATGCTTCTAACATAAGTAAGAAGAAAGCCAAGGAATCATTACCATTGCCTACCCCGTCAATGTATCAGAAAAACAAAATTGAAAATAAAAAATAAAAACATATTGTTGACTGCAAATAAAAAAATACAAACATTTTCATATGGTTCATGATGTTGAGGTTTTCCTAGGGCATGTTTCACAAGAGTGTTCATCACTACATAGCCCCACCAGAGTCTGACTTGGTTGGCATAATAACAATTAAAGGCACACAGGGGTCCAAAGCTAACATTCCCAGCCATTACTACTAAAATTACAACCACTAATCAATCCTGTTGTAATGTAATTGTGTAACCCATATAGTTTGACAATTTCAACAAGTAACACACATATATATGCATATATCGAAGGCCGTAACTTGGAAAAGAGGAGAAAATTGCTTGTAGAATCATAAAACTTTTACTGAGATATAAGATTTCTACCCAACTAGTCCAATAACGAGAAAAGTCAAGGCAAGCAAGTTTCCAAGTGTCAAACAGTAATGGGCTCAAAGCTACAAGGAAATAGAGCCATCCTTCTTTGCTTCTGAACCAATTTGCTCAAGTCATGTCCTTAAACCTCAACTCTACTTGGACCAACGAGTTATTTCTCTATAAACTTATTGGGATTTTTCTGTATCCACAAATGCGAACAGGAGCACACCACAAACACATTGAAGATACAAACAATCACACAGACATTTACATGGTTCAGCAAAAACATGCCTATGTCCATGGGCAAGAGAGAAAATATTCCAATACGTCAGTAAAAGAGTACAAACTCACTCTCCCCTCTCCACAAGCCTCACTCTCTTTGATTTTTCGCACCACTAAAATTACACAAGTATCTTAGTTATAGACGAGCAATAATTCCCACATAATAGAATACACACTCACATAAACTTCAAAGCAACCTCATAACAGACCTAAAACTCTTACCTTTTAAGGTTGGAAAGGGTCATCAATGACAGAAAATTCAAGAAACAACAAACCAAAGTCACTTGATGGGATATAAATATAAAATAAAAAGACTACAACATAGAAAACTATAAATACAACATAACACAATTCTCTCTTATACTAGTAAAATCCAAACCTTCCCAAACATCAGAGCTTGTCTAGCAAAAAATTTTACAACTTATAATGGGCACCAAGACTCTGAGGCCAAAGAATGATATTATCAAAGTCTACCTGTACATAGTGATCTTCATAGCGCAAGTGTTAGTCGCGCTGAAGGAGAATGTGATTGGTTAAATTAGGCTGGAAAACGATGATGTGAACACATAGGGGATATTGGCCAGGGGACCTCGTTGGCATGCAAGCTCATGAATGTCCTTCACAATGTCAAACACGGCATTTGGTTGAGCAAGTTTGAGCGCGTTCTCTGACATTCTCTTGAGTTCATCTGTTTTGGTGCTGAACCATTCAGCCACAAGCTTGGCAGTTTCCTTGGGACTTCTGGTGAATACACCTGCCCCGTTGTCGACTACATAGGGAACATTTCCCTTTTCCTGGGAAAGCCAAAGGGAGAGGAAAATTTGTAATGAGTTTAATGTCATTTTGCAAGAAAATAACAAAGTGAGCAATCAATTGTTCTTATGGCTTACTTGTCCGGGAATGTAGTCATTTAGAATAATAGGAAGTCCTCTGATCAATGCCTCTGCAATTGTACCAGGTCCCGCCTGCAGAACCCAAAAAAACCCCAAAATAGTAAGTCATCCATATTTGACAATGTATGGATAACATAGGCCTTGTTTGGTGCAGTTTACGGGACTGCTAATAGCTTTTTTCATTTTGGAAAGTTGTGCGGTGCAGCTTAGGTTATGAGCTAGAAAATAACTTAAATAAGCTAAAAAACAAAATTTGATTATTGAGAAGTAAAGAAAGTATGCTTTTAGAGTCTGCTTTATGAGTATCAGCTTTTAGCTTGCAGGAAGCTGCTCAAAACAGGGCCTATTGTACAGACAGGAATATCAATGCAGGATTTTCAAAACATACTTTTGTAATAATACAATCGCAAGCACCCATCCATTTCTCCATCTGAGTCTGGAACCCTTTAACCTACAGTGCAGGAATAAAAATGATAATAAAAAAGAGCTTAATATTGCTGACTACAAAGAAAATGATGGTTGGACTGTATAAATACACATTTTAATATGCATAGGAGGATTGGTTCAAAAAAGCAAATGTAAATCACCTTCACTGGGATCTTCCATTCAAGTGATTCCAGCGTAGAAGCTAGGTCTTTATTACGACCACAAATAATAATCAATTGCCCGATTGGTTTCTGAAGCCTTTCGTCAAATAGCGTTTCTCCAAGAGCCTTCGCAGTTTTTTTCACAGGACCCATTCCTTCGCCACCTCCCATAAGCAAAACCGCAGGCAATTGGCAATCCATCTCAAGTTCTACTCTTAAATCATCCTACAGAAAGAGGCACAAATAACATCAAATTTCCATTCAATAAAAGAAAGCATAAAAAAGTTAAATAATGCCAAGCATTCACCTTCACAAGAACAGCGCGACAAAAAGAGGGTCGGATTGGCAAGCCAAAAACACGTGTTTGAGATTCTTCCAGGCCATCCAGCAAAGCCCTCTTTGCTACCTCCTCCGACGGGCAGTAGCATCGATTGACCCCAGGGTGAAACCTGAACGTATAAATGGCTTCCAAGTTAAAAATTTAACGTGACCCAAGCTCAAAGGGCATAGAATTTTCAATGTAAGAGTAGTAACTGACCAGGTTCGGTGGCAGGTATTAAGGTCAGTGATAACAGAGACAAAAATTACTTTCTGCTGTAGACCTTGCCATTTAAGTACCCACAAAGGGATGTGTTGCATGAGAGGGTGGACGCTAATGATAATGTCGGGCTTGTACTCCATAAGACCAGCCTCGACCTCCCTTCAACAATCAAGCATTAACTTGTTTAACTATAACTCATTTTACTTTCACAACCCAATAAAATTCACAGCTAGATGTGTGATTTTTGCATTAAAAGGAAATCATGTTCTAACTTGTAGCAGTCAATTAACTGAGAAGTGGTACTGAGAAAGAATCATTTTTAAAGGGAAATAATATAAAGTAAAGACAAAAGGCAATTGGTAATTGAAAATATATTATGGTGACCAAACTAAAGTATCAAGGAATAAACAATGAAAGTTGTATAAAGATTACAATCAACTTGCAGGCGAGAAATGATTGAACATTTGAAAATATCTGAAGGGTTAACAATGATGAAAAGAACATACTTGGCATAGAAGGCAGCAATGGCCGCAAGATAGCAGGAGTGAATCCATTTAGGAGAGGTACTGTGAAACGCAACCTTCCAAAGCTGTACATGTTTAACCATGAACTTGTATGATCTTTCCATGTCATTCAATGGCCAGCCAGCATACTCCTTCCAAACATCCTTTACAAATACCTAAAATCAGAAGATCAAGCTTTAAAAATAAAATAAAATAACCATAGCAGCAGAAATGTAAAAATTGCAAAGAGCTACTGATAAAATATACTGATTCATCTTCATGAAACATAAGCCAGAGACTTTGGTTTTAGAGTTCAGTTATGCTATGAACATCAACACCGATTACAAAACCAAAAACAAAATATACATGAATTGGCTAGCGGGGTTCACTTTAAAAAAAAATTATCCATCTGTTTATATTTGTGCCCGAATTTGTGATTGATTGCTGTGTCCGTAGGACTTATTCTTTACAGTTTAGTATAGTCTGCTCTTAAGAAAAATTTTCTATAATTAAAGAGTTTAATGAAGCACCATAAAATAGGACAACCCAAAGAAAGGAAAAGCCATCAATGTTGGAGAGTTTTAAGGAAAACCCACCAAAAATTACTTCTTTACATAATCCAAAAGACCTAAAAACTGGAAAATAAAGGCCAAATTTATTGAAAATCAACCACAAGTATAGAAACTTTGTTAAGGCCAAAGCTTTAAAACAACCAAAATGTACCTACGAATCTAGGATTGATTTGAATGACAATGTGTGAAACTGAAATTCATTGACGGGAGAGAGAGATAGGATCTAAGAACAAAAACTTCTTAATTTTAAGAGAAAAACACTAAATTGTGACAAAAATGATAAATAAGTCCAAAATTAAAGGGGAAGTAAAGACAAAACTTTACAAAAAGTAAATCAAAATTAAAAAAATCTATGAGAAACAAGAAAGGGAACGCAATTGCCCCAAACTAATCACCAAACACAAACTCCAAACACACAGAAAGTAACCTCAGCAGAAATTTTATGACCTAAGGTCCAAACTTTCCAAGATCCATGCACATACATGAAATGAGTTGAATTACTTGAAGAAGAAAAAAAAAAAACATCTTTTTTTTCTTTAAACTATGAGAAACAATAAAAGGGTTGAACCCAATTGCCCCCCCAAATCACAAAAATCCAAACTCCAATTTAAACACAGATCAAATGACCTCAGCATAACTTCCCAAGATCATAAAGAAACCTAATTTCCAAGACCCATGCACATGCACACAAAAAATACATAAGCAAATATGTAATTATTAAAGAAAAACAGAAATTGATCAAGGCCCAGAAGATGAAATGAGTTGAATCACCTGATACTCATCCCCAAACTCCAATCTGAAGGCATCCCTAATGGCCTCCGCCGAGGCACGGTGGCCGCCACCAGTATCACTCATCAAGATCAGCACATTCTTGGTCCTCTCGGCCCCAATCTGCACCATCTCCATCGTCCCTTCCTCTTCCTGAATGTCATACTTGCATCTCTTCTGGCTGCTTCCGCTGCCAAATCCATAAACCCCAACTCTCTGGAACACCGAGTTGAGCGACGATGATTTTCTCGTCGGCGCCACCGTCATCGCCATATCTATATATACAAATCTTTGAAAATTTGTATATATAAATTGAAGAAAAAAAAAATGATTCCAAATGATTTCAAAAACCCAGTAATCAAATTGCTAAAGAGAGTTTGTATTTATAAATTGATTCCTACCTATACGACAAAATTTTCAGAAACCCAGAAAAATCATATATAGAATTGGCTAAAGAGAGCCGGAGGGAGAGAGAGAGAGAGAGAGAGAGTATTGGTTGGCGGAATCGGAAAGGTTGTTTTCTGTTGAAGGAGAGAGAGAGAGAGAGAGAGAGAGGGGTTGTTGGCGTGAGTGAGTGATTACTGGATGCTTCCTTGAACGATGCCAGGAACGTTTGGTGGCAGAGGAAAGGGGGAGAGGTATTTACAGCCGTCCGATTTCGCATCTTGGGGTCGGAATGTGCTGATTTCTGATTGGGTAGATTCCATATACCTGAAATGAAAGTTTGATTATTTCTAGGCTGGGCCCATCTAAAAATAATCGGCTTCCTAATTTTTATTTCGACAATACTATATAACTCAAATTTTGTGACTCAAAAATAGTTTAAATGGTCAAAACGACGTCGTTTTGAATACAGAACAACATAAAAACGGCCAAAACGACGTTGTTTTGGCCATTTGAGCCACTTTTGAGCCACAAAATTTGAGTTACGAGACATTTTTTTTTTTTTTCAAAAAATACATTTTAAAAAATACACTAGCTCGAAAGTTTCTGATTCGAGTGGCCCGAATTTAATTTTCTATTTCAGCAATGATTAGTGGCTCAAAATTCAATTACTCAAATGACTCGAAACTGTTAAAACAACATCATTTTAGGCGAAAAACAAACTAAAACAACGTCATTTTGACAATTTCAAATCATTTGAGTCACTGATTTTGTGGCATTCAAACATTTTTCTTTCTATTTGTTGTATGCGTCTAATCCAATAATGCTTGGTACCTCGACAGTTAGAGGCTTGAATGCCTCGAATTATCGTCTCTCTTGATGGCCTCTCTCTCTCACTCTCCTATTCAAACCCCAAACCCAAGCAGCTTAGGCTCTCTCTTCTCTCATCCCTCTCATCCTCTCATTCGCTCTCAATCCTTTCATTCTGTCATCTCTCTCGTCGCTACGCCATTCTCTCTATCGTCTTCATCAAACTGCTGGAGCCCTCCTTACCGCATCGTCGTCATCAAATCATTGGAGCTGTCGTTGGTGCCTTGGACTCTCATCACCTACCAAAAAAAACATCTCTCTCTCTCTCTCTTTGTGGTGAGTCCTAACATCGCAATACCTAGGGTTTGGATTTTGGGTTTGTAAATCAGAAATTAGGGCTTTTTATATCAGTTTAGATTTTAATCTATAAATCAGAAATTGGATTTGAATTTGTATATCAGTTTATATTAGTTTTGATATGTATAAGCCCATAAAGGCCACGAATCACCTATGGCCCATCACTTGAAACCCAGTACATAACCCGGCTGGTGAGGTCCAGGACAGTTGGAGTCCAACATGGCATAAAGAGCCAATGACATTCAGACACACGGCAAGAGAAGGACGAGCCACATCAGCAGACAAAGATCTGCAAAGTTATTGCCACTGCACATCACTATTAATGCAGCCCATCATAGCATTTATTACGACAACACCTCTCCGCCAGAACAGGACCCCCTTACCCTGAGCAAGGTAAGCTACAGCATAGGCTTTCGGCGAGGAAAGCAGGTCGGAAGAGACAGCGAAATGATTACCAAAGGATATAAGCGAACGTTGTAGACAAGAAAAAGGTTAAGCTTTCTATCTCTAACCTCCCCCCATATACTCTACTCCTGTTCCTAACTTGATCGTCGGAGGGTTCACTGGGGGACTACCCCGTTCCCCGTTGAACTTGTTTGCAGGATATCCGGTGAGCTCGATCATTTGGGCTTGGGCTTGAGGAGCTTGGACCAGTTCGTCTCATTCACTGGGATAAACTATATCAACAGTTGGCGTCGTCTGTGGGAAACGCTTTGCTCCTCGCACCAGTTGTGTTCACTGTCGCCGGAGACCCCGTTCTAACAACATCTTTCTCCTACCCGTCAAAGTGCATGGTCACGACTAGATCCATGGCTTCTCACAATAATGCTGCCGACCATCAAGCCGACCCCCCCAATTCAAACAACCCACCACAGTATTTTATCGAGCTTACCAACAGCATTAACCGCATGGCCGAGCAAAACCAGGCCTTGATAAATGCTTTACTCCAAAGAAACCTTCCAATGCCTCCTCCACCACCTCCAGATATTCCCCCCAACCAAGAAAGAGCCCTGAGCCATACTGCTCCACAACTCCATCCACCCGACTTGGAAGGTTTGCAACCTCCCCACCCACATAGAAATCTACTACCACCACCCCCACACCCGTCGGTCATAGCACCAGCCCCTGAAGGGGAGGCCAGCAGCGTCCAACCTCCATTTACTGACCATAGTGACCACGTTCCCCTCTGGGATGCTGAGCTCCGAGCAATAAAGCTCCAACTCCAAGGGGTCATGCAGAATATTCAGCATAAACCCTCTACCACGGCAAATTCACCATTTGTTGCCTCCATCCGGGACAAACCTTTGCCCGCCAAGTTCAAGATGCCCACCATTGACTCCTTTGACGGTACGACGGACCCAGTCGACCATCTGGAGACCTACCGTACCCTCATGATCCTCCACGCCTTCCCTGACGAGATCATGTGTCGGGCTTTCCCCATAACACTGAAGGGGTCAGCTTGACTGTGGTTCAGTCAGTTACAAGCGGACTCTGTCTCCACTTTTCAGCATCTCAGCGACTCCTTCCTCAGCCATTTCATTGGAGCCCAGCGCCAACGCCGCCCTGCAACCCAACTCCTCAACATCCGTCAGACCAAAGGGGAGTCGCTGCGCAGCTTCGTTACCCGCTTCAACACCGAAGCCCTACAAGTAGCGGAGAATGAGGATAAGGTCATCCTCACGGCTTTCATGGCCGAGCTACGATCGTCCGATTTCCTCTTCTCCCTCTCCAAAAACCCCCCGACCTCCATGGTAGCTCTATTATCCAAAGCCCAGAAGTATATGAATGCCGAAGATTCACTAGCCGCTCGACAGGATCCAATATCCAAAAATCCGACCCCCAGAGAAAAGAGAAAAGAGTCGGAACCCAGAAACACCCAGTATAACAGCCAAACACCCAAATATACCGACCGACCTCCTCGCACTGACCGGTCGGCACCGGCCCGACCGCCCTGTCGGTTCGAGCGGTACACGCCCCTTAATTCTCCCATGGAACAAGTCCTCCACCAGATCCAACGGGATTACCCCCTCAAATGGCCCCTGCCCTCACGGACCCCTTCCAACCAAAAAAACCAATCCAAATATTGTCGTTTCCACCAGGATCATGGCCACAACACTGATGACTGCATCAACCTCAAGGATCAGGTCGAGACCCTCATTTGTCAAGGGCGTTTCAGCCGGTTCACGGACACCCGCCCACAACAGAGGCAAAGAACCGAGCCCCTCAGAAACAACCACCAGCGTACCCCACCCGGCAGCCAGCCCAACCTAACCAAGGCCATGACTGCCCCCCACAACAGCCTCGGCCCCCAGGTAATCCCCCTCCGCCAGTTGGTGAAATTCGAGTCATTTCTGGTGGCCTTGCTTATGGCGGACCATCCCAATCCGCTCAGAGGGCAGAGCTCAGGAAGATAAGGCAAGGCTCGGAGAGCAGTGGACATGGTTGACCGACCCTCCAAACAGCCCAAGTAGTGGACAGAGTCCATCACCTTCACAGACGCCGATTGTACTGGTATCCGTTATCCTCATGATGACCCTCTCGTCATTTCTGCCCTTCTCTCCAACTATAAGGTCAGACGGGTTCTCATCGACAACGGCAGTTCCTCAGACATCATATTCCTCAATTGCTTCCGCCAGCTCAAAATTGGGGAGGAAAGCCTGTCCCCCCTCCAAACCCCTTTGGTCGGTTTCACTGGTGACCAGGTGACCTCCATCGGTTTCATCGACCTCCCCATCACCATCGGCGAATACCCACAGCAGACTACCAAGTTGCTCACTTTCCTTGTGGTCGACTGTCCCTCTGCCTACAACATCATCCTTGGTCGCACCGCCCTCAACGCTTTTCAAGCTGTCACTTCAACCTACCACCTCACCATAAAGTTTCCCACCGACTAGGGGGTCGGGATAATACGGGAAGAGCAGACCATAGCCAGGGAATGTTATGTCGTCTTACTCAAGGAAGTCAAGTTAAAGGAGGCCATGATCATTGAAGGACTTGACGTCCGAGATGAGGACGAGCTGGTCAGAGGCGAACCGGTGGAGGAGCTCGTTGAGATTCCCATCAATCCCACCAACCCAATGAAAACTGCTAAGATCGGAAGCCAGCTATCCCCCCAAGCTAAGGCCAACCTTACTGCCCTTTTGACCGAGCACAATGATGTATTCGCCTGGACTCATTCAGATATGCCAGGCATCGACCCTTCTTTCATAACTCATCGCCTCAGCATTGAACCTCATTTCTGACCTTACCGCCAGAAGCAGCGCATCTTTCATCCAGAGCGCAATACTCTTATAGCCGCAGAAGTCGACAAACTCCTTGAGACCCAATTCATCAAAAATGTCGACTACCCTAAATGGTTGTCAAACGTGGTCCTCGTTCGCAAGAACAACGGCAAATGGCGACTCTGTGTCGATTACTCTGACCTGAACCGAGCTTGCCCCAAAGACAGCTATCCTCTGCCCCGCATAGATCTGCTAGTCGACGCCACGGCCGGTCATCAAATGCTCAGCTTCATAGATACTTTCTCTGGCTACAACCAAATCCTGATGCACTTGTCCGATTGGAAACATACATCCTTCATCACCGACCGAGGTACCTATCATTACCGAGCAATGCCATTCGGATTGAAGAACGCTGGGGCCACCTACCAACGGTTGGTCAATGCCGTCTTCCATCACCAAATAGGTCGGAATATGGAAGTATACGTCGACGACATGCTAGTCAAGAGCAAACTCTCCACTGACCATCTGACCGACCTGCAGGAGACCTTCGCCACCCTACGCAAGTACCAAATGAAGCTCAACCCAGAGAAGTGTGCTTTCGGCGTAGGATCCGGAAAGTTTCTGGGTTTTATGGTCAGTCAGCGGGGCATTGAAGCTAACCCTGAAAAGATCAAGGCCTTGGTTGAGATGCAGTCACCCCGAACGGTTAAAGAAGTTCAAAGACTTACTGGCCGAGTTGCAGCCCTCAATCGTTTCATTTCCTGCGCCACAGATAAGTGCCTACCATTCTTCAAAGTTCTTCGGCAAACTTTTGAA